CCTAATTTGCCCTCGAATCCATGGCTGCCAGGAGCCATCGCCCTGCGAAGTTCTCTTCAACAAATTCGTCATCTTACGTTTTTCTACAGGTTCGGCTCTGTCTTCAATTACCCTCAATCGAAGGGCTTTCCGATCACGTGTCGACGGCGTGCTAAATTAATTTGAACAGCGGTTGTCTTGTGCTTACTCGAGCGGTACGTGTCTGGGCCCCTAATAAGCAAATGGCTTGCTCTTCCTCTGCTCTTTGAGTCACGATACTCATGGCGGACGCTGGCTTGAACGGATCTGGTCGTAGCCGCTTGCCGCCGTCTGATCCCATCCCTGTTTTCCCACGCGATCAATGCCGACCGTCAACCACTTGCTTCGGTCAGTAGGAATGTGGCCACGATCGTTGCTGTCGTTCTTCCGTTGCAGCACGTCGCGAAACGACACAAGCGATCCTAAACGGCATTTCGGCCCTGAAGATCTACCTGTCACCGGCCGGTGACCGATACCGTAAGAAAGAGGCACTGTGGATCTGGCCTCAGGCACTGACTGCCGTTTCCGGTGACCAGCACTGCCAATGTACAGGGTTCCGATTTCGATTTCCACTTTTCTCCGGCCCTGCCGGTCGTTCATCTCCTTCCTGTACGAGACGTACTCGTACTGCTGCGGTACCAGCCAGCGAACTCAGCAGGAGCACGAAAGAACGATCCTTCAAAGACGGCTGTACATCGCCGAAAACGTAAGTAGCTGCCCCGAACCACTATCGATGCCGTCTTCTCTTCAGAGCATTGACGACATGATTCACCAGTCTTGACAACGTTTCGAAACTCATTTGCATTCTGTGTCTTTTTGTTCCTCACTGGTAATGGTGTAGTTCTAGTGGTTTTAGATACCGGCACCGATACCCAGAAAACCGGGGTTGAACTGCTCCTGCACAACTTTCGCCATCTCGTTGTCTGCCCTGAGAATGGCCAGCGTTTCGTGACTGATGCAGTAAAAGCGCTTAACTCGATCTTCTGGATATATTCGTACCCCGTGAATCCGAGTTACCTACGTCGTATCGTTAAATGGCCGTAGACACGTTTAGAAAGAGGCTTGAAAGCGCTGAAATCACTTTCTGATGACGATGTGCGTTGGTTGACAATTTACGCTCACACCTTCTATAAATCAATATACGTTAGACAGAATTAAGCAATGTAAACTTCCAATGTGATATTTACCCATGATCGAGGAGTCAGTGTTTAAACAGCGTTAGTAAGCCGCAATTCCTCGGTTTAGCACATTTGTCTTCAAATCGTTTACTCCACAAATACATCTTAGATGCAAATTTGCCTCACACTTTAGTAAATCCATCTTCAGCAAATGTAGCTCACAAAGCGTTCACTAAAACAAGTTGTGAACAGGAACTCTCTTTGGTGAATTTCAAGTGAGTTACGTCCCGCGAAGGTTAATCGGTGAATTCGAGATACCACGTAAATCACGTATCAAGCAAGATATATATGCAGAATAAAATTTTTGAAGACTAATGTAACCAAAACCGTGCATCGTAAGTAAATATTTTCAGAGATTCATAATGACTCATTGCCACTAATTTATTTAGGAGACCTTCTGGTGACGTTTTAGCACAGCAGTAAAAAAAGTCAGCTTTCAATTCCAGAGATACCTGGTTCGAATCCGCACAGAAACAACGTTTGAGTTTACATTGCAAATTTCCTTGAACAAGGAATTTTTCAGTCCTTGATTCGGCGCAGCCAGCCGAGAAACGTGTAGTAAGTTGATGACTTGTCAATAATCGAATCAGCACTGTCATCTGGTCTGATTATGTGAAAATGAACTGGGTGTACGGGCTGTCCGATACGATGACCCGTTTAGCACTTCGCCTTGACTCGTACCCTAGCTTACGATCCAATGTAAGAATCAGCATGAGGAGTAATCCAAATTTTTTTTTCATTCTATCCTCTTTTAGTGAGGTTGTCCGTTGCCACGGATAAATGCATTTGGAAAAGGTATAGACGGAAAAGTTGACATCTAGTAATATCGAATTTTTCAAATGATACATATTGCGCATTCGCATGAGGAATGACTCTTTCATGACCACATTTCACGGCCTGTTGCACTGGCGCGTTTGCTCACGGTTGTCCATCTGGGGGCATTTAAACCTGCTACGGCTCCAAGCTTTAAACACCTAAATCAAGGGTGCGTATTACATTATTTTGTTCTCTAAAGCCACCGACGCTCATTATGAACAATGTTTCAGCACTTGGTATTCATTATGTGGTATTATGCATCCGTATAGATAATTGAAGCAACGATTTATTATTGCGAAAGACTGTCATGCTCCCACATATTCTGTTATGATCCATGAAACATCTTCGGGAGCTGTTTTCGGTCCAGCCTATGAATCGCTATGTATCGTTCAGAAGTAGATTTTATAGTGGAAAGACCAGATCATCGTTTCTGGGGTTAATCTGCATAAATCTGTTTCAGAAGAATAAGTTTATCTCTTCATTATCGTTGAGTCATTCCTCTACTGTGTCAGGGTCATGATAAATTTTTATGGATTTTTCATAGCAACAAATGTTGCTCAATATAATTTGGGACTACCCTTTTGTTGTTTTGTTCCTCCTCTGCATGTTTTTCTTTACGGTATGTGCACTATCATTTGCCATCTTCTAAAGAACATGATTCATGCAGCATTTGATATCGATTATCTTTGACGTTGAATAAAACAATTGCTGAATGGGATTCTTTCCTCTTTAACAATGCCTAACAAATTACTTTCGACAATTCATTAAGCGCATTTACTCAACCTCATAGAAGCTTTCTTTCTGAAAATAAAACCTCTGCTCATTGTACATGCAAAGCTGGTTTAACGCAGCTATTGAAAATGCGTGTTCGTAAGTTCTCTAATGGAAGGACCAGGTGAAATGACAGTGCATGAGCTGAACAAAGGAATCGTTTTACGTTTAAACCGGAAGAGTTTCCACTCAGCTAAGTGCCTTAGCATGAAGCATTCGTGGCATACCAATGAGAATCGCACTTTGCGATGTGCCATCGTGAATCTTGAAACAGTTTTTTCTTTCTCGTTGAATTCCTCATCAGCTTCTGCAATTCGACTGCATTGTATTTTGTTTTTCTCCTTTTATCCTGTGATAATCCGATACGAATCGATCAGATTTGTTAACATAGTTAAGGAAACCCATCAATCAATCAATTTTCATGACCACTTGTCCTTTCAAGTCGCCCAGGCAGACGCGTCAAACAGTGTTTCCAGCGTATCTGGTGCTGCACCAGTGATTGAGTTTCGGCGGGAAATAACCAGAGTCTAGAGCAGAGCTTTTCAAAACTATTTCCCTCCGGTTAATCTTGGCCATCCTTGGGGTCTTCGCCGGTCCATTGGGGAAATAGTGATTGCTTCGCCTCCATTTTGGAGGCATTCACGACAAGTGCCCAAGCCATCGCAACTATGACTTCTCAATCAGAAGAAGCAGCCGCTGTACACCAAAGCTCTCTCAGATGTCAGTACAACAGAGCATGTTGAGACGACGCGTGATGTAACGAGACCAGATCTTTCAACTTATTACACTGAATTCTGTGAGAGTAAGTGAAATGGAGGTAAATGTTGCAGTTCTACAGGCATAACTAAGCGCCTCTAAATTCTTGTCGTTTTGTGAACGTTTGACGGCGCCAAGGCTAAGAATAGGGTATGTGTTATATGTCGGTACATGATTATGGTGTTACCGAATAAATAATGTTCATAATGGAGCCTGTGGATATCCATAACGATCTGGGAATATTTTCGGGCTTAAGTTTTTCATTGATTATTACACTAGATAGCTCTCAGGTGGCTCAAGACCGCACAAAGCACTCGAATCAGACAATGAGAAAACTCCTCTGGCCTCCATTGTATAACCACATCCAGAGCACCGTGCTATTCTGTTGCTCGCAAGTTAACGAACTGCTAATCGTTTTTCAACTAGTTGCACGGAAGCAATGTAGGGTCAGTTCATGGGAATTGGCGGTTTACAAAACTCACCCACTGTATTCTGAACAGGACCAGGCCTCAGAAATTTCAGGGGAACAATGAGAGCTGCATCAAAGAACGTTCTTCGTCATCAACCTGTTTGATCCACTGCTGACTTATTGCATCTTTCATTTTGTGCTGTCGCGAAACTTCCCGCAAGCAGTTGCATTCTTGTGAATCGTTGGCGTTGTTGTCTCTGTATGATTTCTCGATGCCCTGGCTACTGAAGGACTCCAATATAGACTTGGTGTAGCGGAAGTCTAAAGCCTTTTCTTAATCAACGATCCTCGATCAGAGAGGAAGCCAATATTTGTATTTATTGCTTGTCTGAGTTACTTGTTGTCTGACCTGAAATCATCGAACGAGCTAAATCCAATTCTGAACGTTCCTCTCTCCTTTAGTTGTGCTGCGAAGAGTTTTTTTTGAAGTCTGTTCGTCAATACTGAAGCGCAGATCTTGTAGATGATGGACAGCAGATCGATCAGTTCTGTGGTTCTTCAAATTCTCTGTCTCCTATTTTTGGATTAGAAACACAGATGTTTTAGTCTAATGGTCTGGAATTTTTAGTTCCTTCATATAGCATCACTACAGGGCGCACTAATGTCTTTGTCATTGCTTCTCCACAAGCTTCCACGAGTTCAACTGTAATGTCGTCATTGCCAATAGCAGTTCCTCCCTTCGCCCGTTTTACTGCATGTTGCACTTCTTCTTGCAGAATATCTGGAATTTTGTCAACGTCATTTGTATCTGAAAGCTCTTTGTCATCAACAGACTGTTGTAGTTTTCATCTTTGCAAAATTTGCTATGCAAATCGTCTACTCCCGTAAGGACCAATTTTCTGTCCTTGGTGAGCTCCCGTTTTCCTCTTTTACAGCTAGAATTTGTCTCTTTCTTACTGTCGGTCTTTGATATGAATCAGTCTTCAGTAATTTTATTTACCAGTCTGCAGTTGAGTGTTGGGATGCATTCTTTTATCCGTTTCCCTAAAGTTTTGCATAGTTCATTGCATTCTATTTTGGACTTTTGCTCTGCTGCCAGCTCCAGTTCCATCCGCTTCGTTTGTTTCACTGATCACTCGTTGATAACCATTTCTCCAAAATTAATTCCGCCGTTTCCATTTTATTATATCGTGCCATATTACGTTAATGTCTCTTGCTGCTTCTTCTTCGTTATAACATTAAGAATATTGCTTTGGTTTTCCTATTTGAATTGGAACGGCAGCAGATCTATTAGCTGTTTCTACGTCGAGTATCTTGCGCATGGCCCTCAACAACTTCCTTCATTCTGTAGGTAGATTCAGGCGCATTTTACATCTGACGAGGTGGTGGTCGCTTTCCTCACTAAACCTGTTCAATACCGTGATATCCTGTACTGTTTTTGATGTTACTGATAATGAAATCGATTTCAGTCTGGACTTCGTTTAGCCTTTCCATTCCACAGTTAGCTTGCTCTTTCCGGAAAAGTATGTTCAACTTCAACGGACAAGGATAACTTCCATTTCTAGCACTGTATGATTGCCCGCCACGCCTATCGTCCCTTTGCCGTAGCCTGATTGGTCCACGGGATATTCGCTTCCTTGCTTCGGTTTGACTGCGGTGATGGACACACCAACAATGAATTTTTAATCTCTCTTATCATGTTCATGCAATTCTTCTATTTCTTGATCAGGATCACGTGACATGGCGTATATGCTTGGATTACATGGGGTTGGTAACTCTTTGAAATTCACAAGATCAGTCTCTGATTACTGCGTACCTCTCTGATTGCTGTCTGTTTGTATTACATTGTTCTTTATTCTCATGTGGACAATGGACTCTTCTCCACCTCTTCTTCCACTCGATGTTTCTCTGTAGATCAGGAGATGCCGATTGTTTTGCTCCAACAGCTCCTTTCCATTCGTTTGACTTCAATGAGTTCGATTACGTCTCACTTGATTTTGCTGAGTGATACTTTCAGGTCTTCAAACCTTACTTCGTCTTTAAAGTCACTTGCCGTTTTTCGATGCAGGTGCTATTAAACTGTAGCATCAGCAATCTGTAATCGGGGTACACTTATCACTCTGTGTATTTGTGGCTGACCAGCTGCTGCTTTCGTTGACTGAAATTCACCCTCCGGGGTAATTGAACTGCGGTTTCATTTGTGATTTCGTCTTGCAGGAATTGATCATAATTCACCGTGCTGACCGGGAAGAAAAGCGTACCATTCGAATATCGATCTTCCTTACTTGTGCTTGACTGGGCGAATTCTAGCAGCTTTGTTTTTATGCAGTTGGACAGTGATCACGCTCCATTTCCATGACATCTGCCTGAGGATGCCTCATTTTTTAAAAATGCAGAGTCAACAGCAGCTTTCTGATAGACATCATCTTTGTTGTCCGGTTTCCTTCCTATCATCTGAATGGTACTTACTTCTTAACTTCAGAACGGAGGAGGCGATGACCCGCTCTGGGTTCGGACGGGAACCTCTCGAGTAGTAGCTGTCTGAAGCAATATGTGCTAAATTCTTTGCTCAAGGAAATTTGTGGTAAAGACAAAGATTACCCGTGGAGGGACTCGAACTCAGCACCTCAGGAGTTCCAGTGCGAAGCCAACCTCTTACGTACTGTGCCACTATGCCCCGGTGATGCTGGCCAGGCCAGAGGTTAGTGAGTGCTGCCTCTTCCATTTGGCCGGATATGTTTTTCAAGCTTTCACAGAGTGGCTGAGCCTGTCTGAGTCTAGAGGCTTATCGGTACATCGTTTGGAGAGCTCGTTGCTACCCGTGGAAGTAGGTCTTAGGGTGGCTAACCTTACCTGATACAGATTAAAAGCATTATTTCAAATTGTCAAACATCATGATCTCGAACAACATTATCATCCTTTACTTAATCATCTTTGGATAACGTTGACCGTAGACTAACAAGAATCAGTATGATATCTGATCGAGCTATATTGTGACCCATTCCACCGTTTCTTTCCTAGTGTTAGGACTGCAAATATTTGACTGTGTTATTAATCCTGACGTATCACGTTTATAAATGTTATGCTACTGGTGAAAGCCATATTCGAGAAAGATCGAACGTTCAACTTGCTCACATGGAGTGTGCAGCGTCGTAAAGCAAATCGATGCCGTTTCTCGACCGACTACTTTTGAATGACGGAAGGTTCTGTTAGAAGAAGGAACGGTTGCATGTTCCGTCGAACGAAACGTAGCTGTGCTGATGAATTTTCCTGTACTTTAATTGTTGCTGCTTGCAAATTCTGCTTTGGCCACCATAACTACTCTGTACGTACTTTTTGATCAGATATCCGCATAATTGGCTGAGGGTTTTTGCCAGCTGCACAATTGTTGTTGTCGTACTAACACTAGCTCTAAATATAATTCTTCGTTCTGACGTATGTGCTATCCACGGAAATAAATAAATAAAACTGCCAAAGCCGTTCTCTCTGAAGTTTTAGGCGGAATGTTTTTCTTCTGGAAGGATTTGTCTATAAGCTGTGGAAACAATTTTTAAGCTTAGCATATCATTAACCCATTTGCCAGATTTATTGAGTTCTTGGCAGCTTTTACCAGTTGCCGTAGCCACTGGCGAGAATATACTACACTATGTTTGTTCCTTGAACTTAATCTCATGCTTTGCTCATTAAATGTTGTACAAGACATGAAGGATTGGTCAAGCATAGTTAGTCCCTCAATATCAGATGTTGTTTCTTCAGGTTGTGCACTAGTATCTTTCTGTCACAGCTAGGTTTATTGGATGACTTGCTTCAAGTCATTACCGTAGTGTTTTGCAACGATTTCTGTAATAACTCTTCTAGCGAAGAATGATGATTTGGCAATATTCCTCTCTTCTTTGCAAGATAAACTCACTCTCACGCAGTTGCGACTTCAGAATCATGAGAACTAAGGAACAGATTCCAAAGTCGCCTGTATCAGTAAGTTATCAGCGTTGTTCAAGCATGTCAGCTTAGCCATTTTACTCAGGAAGACTATTTCGGTCGCTTGCACTCGTCATCGTGTTTTCCAGATCATGAAACATGGCTCATGGCCATAATTGAGCACAGGAGCAAAAAGTGCCGTTTTCAGACTTTGTTGTGCCATTGTTCGTCGTAACAGTTTGGCGTAGTTCATGAAGAACATTTGCTAGAGGTTGCTATTTGCCGGCTGATCTCACGGCTAAAATTATGTACGGCAAAGTTTATTATCATAAGTTTCAAAAAAAGCGGAAGCTTGTGCTGTGAACCGTTGTTTCGTTGGGTATGCCCAACCTTATGTCACTGTTCTTTGGAACCTAAACGAACAGTCATCGTTGGTCGAGGGAAGAATCTTCGTGCAGACTGTCTTCACTTCCAGGTCCAGGCGTTTCGTCACAGACCTTTGCTGAATCTGGTTTACTTGTATTCAGACCTTTCGTTGCGGCTTGTATTTCCAGCTCCATGATGTCGACAAACCAAGTGCTAATGACACAAGTCCGTCATCCCTGCTTCGTCATGCTGAACATGAAGCAAGTATGACAGCTGCATGACCTTGTGTCATCGGTTGTCTTGTATGTGAGACTTTTAACGACTGCTGTGGCACAGCTGCCACAAGGAAACTCTTCCCTTGACTAACTAAGCTCAGATCCTCAGATTTGCGCACGCAGTCCCTTCAGGTTATGAACAGCCGATTTCACCTCACGCAGATTTTGTTCTTAATGCACAGGCAGAAATTCTTTATGCGTCGTCAGCATTAGGGCTGTTGCCCCAACAGTTAAAACAACAGCATTTCGTCGCTACGTGAGTGATAGATATATGGAAGGATTACAACACTTTATTTTAAATATGCTTAGCATTAAACCTCAAACATTGCTTCATTACATGTTTTACTTACACTGTCTGAAAATGGTATAATTGGCTTATGCCATATAGGATGAACAAGCTAGTGACCTTGATTGTTTGTTCGTTTGTCGTAATTATCACTTTGAGTCGTTTGTATAAACATTTGATGTATAGTTCGTGATGCCTACTGTCTTCACAGCTGTATGACATTTCACAGCTGCAATCATCAGCCAAATGAATAGGAGTCTTTCATTGTTCACTAACTAGCCTCTGTTAAGAAAGCACTTTTAAGGGCTACCTGTAAGTACGCTTATGTGTCGAGAAAGTACATTAAGATCCAGGTCGTGACAACAGCAACAGTGCCACTCCTGACTCGCGTCTGGGCTCTTGCGTCTTTTTCAGGTTCGTTTTCAGTCCTACTTTGCGTTGCCTATCTTCTTTGGAATTCATGGTGATCCTGACAGAATGCGAATATCGTCCACAAACCGTACGTGGCTTAAGTAGAGACTGCTGATGTTCAGCCTCTGATTCTATCAGCTGAGTGACCTTCAGCTTCCTCAAGGACTGGTGTGAATAACCAGTGATATTGCTTCTCTCTGTGGGACGTTGTTTTCGATTTTGAACCAGCTTGTGCTTTCGTAAAGCTGCGCATTAACAGTTATATTCTAGTAAATCTTTAAATGCGATGAAGGCTGTGTATCCTTTTTCGATTCCCTGACTCCTCAAGGGGTTTATTATGGAACGAGTACAGATATAACATATTATATTCAACGTTTTCGCTACGCATGTAATAGCAAGAAGTCATTTCTTGAGATCTTAGTTCTTAACGGTAGGCACTTAGCATTTGGGTGACTTTTAGGTTTTCTTTCTTCATTTGCCATTTCGGCCGAAAACCGATTTGTTAGAACTGAATCAGTGCTTATCAACAGCATGTCCGTTATCTCACTTGTCCTCGTTATTAATGCACATGCATAAGGAAATATCCAGTAGTCGTATGCGACTGCACAACACACGGGCTTGACATGATCTTCCTCTGAAAGTAAACGTTTTTTCCAGTTGATCCAACAGTTTATAGTTCCTCTTTAAGTAGACCAGGGAGATGATGTAAAGTGTCTGCAACATAAATTTAAAGGCAAACCTGCGATGAAACATCAAGTGCTTGTGCAACTGAGGAATAGTATGTTCGCTACTCAGTCTTATTGCGATAACGTAAGAACGGAGAAGAAGTGCGAGACTACTTTCCTTCAAGCTGTTGTTAAACGGTCACCTCTCGCCTCTGCTGATTATCATGAATGGGTTACCCTGGCCAAAAGTGGGTAGCCCTAGAGTATGGCAGAAATGTGGCTATTTCTAATGTGACCCATGAAAAGGCATGACTCGATAACCTTCGAAACCAAGCGGCCTCAGATACCCTCATTATGCGCTTCTTCTCCAAACCATTTTCGATGGTATGGACTCGTTGGTGGTTTAATTTACGTGTTGTGCGTTATGATAATTTGATTAGCTATCAGGGGGATCACGTTTAAGTGTAGCACGCAGCAAACAACATGGTTTGAGGCTCTCGCATTCTAATGTTACCACGACAGAAGGCTATGCTCTACTTCTCCTGTCTTCCGGTCAATGACTGGCCGCTATTTTCTCGGCTGGTCGCACCAAAGCTTAGAAGAGCGAATTCCCTGTTCAAGAGAATAAGCAGTTAAATAAAAATTTTGTTACATTTGGACTCTAACCCACGCCGTTTCATAACTGCCCCGCCCCGTCCCTGACTGCACATAAAAGACTTGTCAGGCCATTGTTCTTCGCAGTGACACATGACAGAGTTGTAGCCAGACAATTGACTATTTCGATCATCTGGCATTTTCGTGCCTCTTAATATGACTCATGGAACTTCGGCGCATATGGGCGCTCAGGGTCATTGGAAAAACTATCTGAAAATGCTGTTTCATTAACCTGAAGAGATTGTAACTGTGTGGGTTGCTATAGATATGGACGAGAAATCTTCTAGGAACGACTAAATGTTGTTCGTTTGGTGCTCACAAAATCTGATGATGACTATGCAGGGATAAATTCAACAGACTGAAAATATCGCAGCATTCAGTTAGAAGCTCATATCTCTTATGTATGTACCCACTAAGGAATACAAGAATGCCAACTATAGCGTTATCCCGAAGCATTGAGGGACACCGTACCTCCCCTCATCCGAC